CTCTCTCTCTCTCTCTCTCTCTCCTCCCTTCTCTCCGCCGATTTTGCATAGCAGGCCTTTACCTGCCATGCATTTAAAACGCAGTCAAGGCTTCCACGGAAGCGATTGTTGTCGGTTGGGGAATGGCAGCCGATGGAGAAAGGTATACGAGAAAATGTTGTCGATCCGACTAGTAGGCCAGTTCGTCTATGCACGTTAACCTGTTGTTTCCCTTCGAACTTTTTCCTCTTCTGCGATTTTCGCGTATTTATCTGCGCGGAGATAGCCTGTAGGTTCGCGCAGATTTCCTCTCCGTCATGTGTCGTACAGTGTTCGGTCGTGGAACGCAGGTGCGTTGGCATATACTGGTAAATGTTCGCGATTTGCCGCTCCTCTCTTACTCGGATTGCGTCGTGTCGACTTTTTCCCTTCTTGCAATCGCAATCGACGGCCAACCAGTTTCAGCAGTGGCGAGTCCACGCCATCCACGCGATAACGGGTCGTTAACTTGCCCACATCTGCCTTTCTCTCGTTTACAAGAACGAAGAAAAGAGCTGTTCCGACTGCTTAGGCAGACGTGCTTTTGAAACGGCTCGCGACTCGACCGGTTTTTCGCCAAAAACTCTCTCTCTCTCTCTCGCTCTCTCTCTCGCTCTCTCTCTCGCTCTCTCTCTCGCTCTCTCTCTCGCTCTCTCTCTCTCTCTCTCTCTCTCTCTCTCTCTCTCTCTCTCTCTCTCTCTCTCCTCCCTCCCCCTATTTTCGCGTCCTTTTCCTTTGTCTTTCACCCTCTCTTCGGAAAAGATCGGTGAATGGTTCGAAACGTCGAAAACCCCTCCCATTCCAGATTCTTTTACGTTGCCCACCTCCTCTCCTCCTTTCGTGTGTTTATACGAGTGTTTTTCGACTCGGGTTCCAGGGAGTTTGACCAGGGAGTTGGCGGGCAAAATCCGCTCGGTGTTTACACAAGCGAAGGGCGAACACGCGGTGCGCGCGACTCGACCAAAAATAGACGCACATATTACTCCGGATATAGGTGTATTTTTAAGCCCACTTGATCCCTGCCTTCGTATCCTGTGTCCTGCCCTGCCCCACCTTTCCCTTCCTTTCCCGCCCTCCCTCCCTCGNCCAAGCTTTCTTCTCTGCCCTTTACTACGACAACGTTTTCATCGGTCCCGTACGCACGCACGTGCGCCGTGCCGGATCCGTTCACGCATGCGGGACACGCGCCTGAATACGGGCCGGCGACGTTCGCTTCATTCTCTCCAGCCACGCTCGTAATTCTCAATTTCGAGAACCGAAGAGCGGACCGAGCAGATGTCCTTTTTTTTTTTCCAGCCTCGATTATTCGCCATTGGTATCCCCGCGTCACGAGTATCACGCGTGTTAATCCTGTGAAAATAATGGACGATCGATCGGTGTACGTAAGTAGTAGGTGTACAAAGCCCGTTACCTCGTGAGAATCGAGCACGCAATAGAGGGTGCTCTCGTACGCATACCGTGCCGCGATGCAATCCAGGGAAAAGTATTTTTCTTTCTCCTTCTCTTCTTTTTCTCTTTCCTCTTTCCTCGTTCGATACGGAGTAGGATACAGTTTAACCGCTAATGATTCAACACGGCTGGATGCGCGTGTGCTTTATTCGCTTACTCGATCCAGCGTCACGTTCGACCGTGTTCTTACCGTCGTATTCGTAGAACTCGTTCGTAACGTGCAAACTTTCGATCCCATGTCCTTGATTCGATACGACGTTATTACCGATTGTACGATATATTCGCGTTTCCGAATCTAGCTCGATTTTTAACGCCAATTTTTATCTTCCGAATCTAGCTCGACTTTTAACGCCGATTTTATCTTCAACGTGATTCGTGAAAGTGCGTTCGATCGGTGATTAACCGTTAAACGTTCGTGATACGGACTGAGTCATCGAGCAAATACGTTGAAAATTTGGTGTTATCTTTTCTCGAGAATTCAGCGTATTTTTCAGCGTTTAATCTCGAGCTGCTTCGAGCGTCGTTTTAAATAATCTCATTGCCCGATCTCNAACCGGAAAATCGCATAATCGTCGTATGTGTGTGCATGTGTATGTGTGTANTATATATATATATATTATATCGCGTTATATTATATCGCTGGAATTTAGTTTCTCATACATACGTCCGTGATGATCTTGACGTGACATCGTCGTTCAAGCCTTAATAGTCTTCGACGGCAGTGACCTCTGAATGCCCTTATTAATCCATTGAGCGGATCCGCAGAAAGAAATCTCGGTACGTGTTTTATTTGTTCGTTTGAATAGATAATTAGTCGACCGATTTGAAGGCAAAGTCGTCGTTATTCCGTTTCTCGATCGTTGTGACGCGATTCTTCTCGAACGAAATTTACGATAAGGAAAAACGAAACAAGATAGAAAAGATGCGGTTTCGTTCCAAAATAACTAAACTGGATTCGATTGTCACGGATCAGATATTTACTCACCAATATAATTTGGCTTAACTTTACTCTCGAACGGGACAAGAGTGTTCGAGATAGCGGCAAATCGTAAAGCGGTGAGTCAAGCAGCAACGTTATTCTTCGATAAAGAATGGAATGTGACATGCTCTCCCATTTTGTCGCCAAGCGATTTCGAACGTAAAGATTTACGACTTCTATAGTTTTCACGCTAAATAAAGAGATGCTTTGAATCAAGAAGAACGTACGTAAAAAGTTCGAAAAAAAAAAAGGATTTCACGTAAAGCAAAGAAATTCTTTTACTTGTATTTACTTTTGATTCGTGGAAAAAATTCGTAGAAAATAATAAATGGATTTAACGACGTTCCTCTCCGTACCGTTGAATTGAAATACGGTTAAGAGAAGACGAATACGAGCGGTAATTTCTTCGCAGCGATCGAACGAGACGGAGTCGCTAGTTGCTTCTTATCTCTCGTTGCAGTTCGTGGCCGTCGATATACTAAATATAGGAGCGTCAGCGAGAGATAAATCGTAGGTAGGAGAAGTGAGTTACGAGAGGAAAGGAAAGCTATTTTTCCTGTGGGATGATGATTCCACACTTCCCACGAACTGTACCACGTAACTCAACACACGTGTTCTCGCCTCGATCTTCGCCCGTATTAAATCTATTTTTTATCCTCACTAAGTGCACGTGTTCCCTACGCTCGACGGAGACGAAACATGAATATTTGTCCAATTTTTTCCTATCAATACACTCTATCCTTTCGACTGAAAATATATTTTATAGGAAAAATATTATTATCATCATTGTCCGATCCTGAATTTTTCTCTCGAACGAAACTCGTCAATTTCGCGTAACGTATCGGATATAGCCACCCGGTATATAAAAGACGATAGCGTGTAACGCATTAGCGCAAGCGTGGTAGAGCGGTAGAGCGCGAGTGGAAAGTGCAATGCACCGCGAATAGGCTGGCCAGAGACAAATGCTATTATTCAGTGACAAAGCGATGCGCGCGCATCGTGTCGTGTTGTTGTTATTGTTGTTACCTTAGCGTTTGGAAAAACCTCGAAATATCGTTTATCGATCGACTCTTTCGTTTCGACGAAATTTTTCAAATCTTTGGACAAAAACGTTCGCTACACTTACGATACTTGGTAAGTTCTCGATTGGGAGAGATTCGCCACGCAAAGAAAAGAAAAATCTCGAAATTTGGCAGAAGAAAAGAAGAAGTACACGCTATACGCGCCGCGTTTATACTAGTCCGTGAGGAGAGATATCTCGGGTATTTTTCATCTTGATAGTCGCGAGAAGGGAGCCAGATGCGTTACGCATCGTGGCTACGAGGCGGGCAGCGGTGCGTAGCCACGCCACGTGCTCTTTAGGTGGTGCATCTAGGTGGTGCGCTAATACATCCGATCTGGTGTTGTTCGACTTTGCCTCGCCGTACCAGTTTTTTTGCGGTTCTCGCTCGAATACAACGGATCGCTTCCTCTCCTCCGCCGTGAAAGAAACGTCGGATCGACCTCGAAACCGTTAACCGACTTTTTAACCATTTATTTTCTACGACGATAATTAGAGAAGGAGTGAGAAAGACAGAGAAAGAAAGAGAGAGAGAGAGAGCTTCTTTATACCCGTTTTTTCGACATTTTTTTCTTTCTAACGCGAATCGAATACAAATGGTAGCAAAAAATAGGGAGCAAATTGCGATTCGTCCTCTAGTGTATATTTCTCTCTAGAGCCTCTCGATGCACGATTCCTTGGAGAATTCCTTTATCGCGAAACGTGTCCCGTTGGTTATTCCAAGCCTCCTATATCTCTGTTTTTCTTTGTCTTTCGCGCGGCGAGTTCATATATTATTCATTATCATCGGCGCGCTTCGCGATTTCTTTCTTTCGCGAACCGTGCGTCCCGTGTACGGGAGCGAAAAAGCTTCTCCGCGCCTGCGCGTAACTGCCGATCTTCGTCTACGCGAGACGTCTCTCTTCTGGCGCTGTAGTAGCCAGGGAGGGCGCACCTGTACGCGATTATCTTTCTCCTTCGATGGAAAATAGAGACGGAAAGTAAATGACGCGTTCCTTCGAACCTTACTTTTTTCTTGCCTTACAATAAAGAAAGGCAAGAAACGTTGGATCGTTCGCAATCTCTCGCAGCTCCATCCTCACTTTCGCCTCACTTTTGATTGCAGGTCAGTTTTATTGGACGCACGACACCTGATTACAGCATCCGGAGAGCGCGAGCGAGAGGGACAGGCGAGCAGAAGGGGCTAGAGAGGCAAAAAGAGGAAAGATGGGAGCGAGACAGAGCAGAAGGTCCGTGGATATAACAACGACTCCGAAGAAGGAGGGGTTGCCCGCCGACGGTGGTGTCGGGGATGCTGCCGCACCTGGCGATGGCAAGCTGGAGAGGATCGAGGAGACCGACACCAAGCCTACTACCAATGGTATAGCGCCGCACACGGACGTTCCCGAGGATAAGGACAAAGATAAAGACGATGCCACGGAAAAAGAGAAAGACAAAGAGCAGGTATGTTTCTTCTTCTCCTCCTCCTCCTCCTTTTTTTCTACGCTCTAACAAATTCTCTATTCTCGATATCTTTCTGTATCTCGATGACAAGTTTTCTCGAAACTTATCAAACTAAACAGACGAAAATTGAATCGATGAATTATCGATCGATTCACGAGTACTATTTTTTTTTTCTTTTCTCTCTTTCTCCTTGGAACGTAATCTATAGCTCGATTATTAAATCTAATCGATTTACGACCACGAGGATTCTTCGTACGTATATCTGTATTTCCAACGTCGATTCCGAGGAGAATTAAATCGGAGATTTAAAAAACTCTAGGTGTCAACAACAGA